CCCTCCCCAGGCGCCCTGATGTTCCTGACGCTGCTCTGCGTCGCCCTGCTGGGTGAGCCTGGGGTGTGGGGATGGGGGCTGCACCCCAAGTCTGCTCCCCATCCCCCCGTGCTCCCCCCCTTTGCCGTGCCGCCGCTGTCCTTCATTTCCCTCCCTCCCGTGTTTGCCTCTTTCCTCCAGAGCAGCTGGTTATTTACCAGGTCGGCGTCATCCCCAGCCAGTACTACGAGGTCCTAGGGAACAAGGACTTCTCCGGGTTCAAAACACTGACTGCCGTTGCCCTGACTCTGATCGTAGTGAACTCCACGGTAAGACAGGCCGGAGGCTCCCGTGTCTTGGGAGGGGAGGGGAAAGCTGCCCATGGCTCCTGGCATGATCCTGGTGACAAAGGATCTAGGTCTGCCCTTGCCCTGTTAGGTAGCTACATGTGGGATGGATCACTGGTACAAACTGTTAGTTTTTATTTCATTTTGGGAAATGCTTGTTCTTCTCACTCATCTCTTCCTGTCTGTCTCCGTGCCCTCATTCCAGCTAAAAAGCTTTGACCAGTTTATCTGCAACATGATGTACGTGAGCTGGAGGAAATCCCTCACCGAATACCTCCACAGCTGCTACTTCCAGGGCCAGATCTACTACAGCCTGCATGTGCTGCGTGAGGACATTGATAACCCGTAGGTTGCCTGCGGCTTCTCTCAGCCTCTTGCTTGGCTTCTCGTGGGCTGCTCCATGCCTTTTCCTGACTTCTCTGTGTCTCCGGGTAGGGGCTTGAGCCCTAGAAGCTTTTGCCATCTAGGCACAAATACTCTCATCTGCCCTGGGTGGGAGGTGGTACCTGTTGCTGGAACTCCCATGACTGCTGGTCATGATGGTTTTAGGGGTAGGATGTTTCTGTCGCAAGGAAAATGGAGGACCGGCAGAATAGGGATCTGGTGCCGCTATAAAACATGCTGTCTGGAAACTCAACCTTTGACACTCAGTGTGACGTTGCAAAGGGCCTGGCTGGAGTCAGAGAGCACTGCCTCTCCTTGCCTTCACGCAGCCAGCAAGTTAGGACGGTCCCTGTTGTTCTGTTTGAACTTCAGCCACCAGAGTCTCCAGCTGAATGCAATTTTTAGTTGGGTTTTTAGTGGTTTTGATAACCCATGGGAGCCATGTCCAGGAAGGGCTTTGTTTTGCACTGTTTGTGGGCTGCATTTCCCTTTTCCTGCTCCTAGGAAGGAAATGTCAGAGGTGACTTGAAATATGAGACAAGGAGGAGCATTCAGTCCCTCCTTGCTTATCCCAGCCCACCCCGAGATCCCCTTCCAGTTTGCTTCATGCACTGTCCTGCTTACTGCAGAGCTGCTGATCTACCTGGGCTGTGCAGCGAAGGTCAAATGCCTCCCTTCCTTACAACTGCCTGCTGACGCTGGCGTTCTAGCCTGTCCTTGCACACAGGACACTGCTGTCATAGTTATGCACTTTGAGGAGTTACAGATCCTACATTAGATATCGTGTAAGAGGTAGAGGCTTTTTTTCCCTCCAGAGTTTAAAGGAGTTATTATTAAATACTTAGTGAAAAACTAGAACCAGGGCATAACTTCTTCCAAATTGTATGGCTTTATACAGTTGTTTTGAGACCCCAGGCTCTCCTTCCCTGGAGGGGGCACCAGTCTAGTCACTGCACTGGTGCCATCTCCCACATTGATGGCACCAGAGGAGACCAAGCCTGGGGTCCCTGGGAGAAATGGCTGTGTTGCAGGAACTCCTAATTGTTGCTAAGAGTGGTGACCTCAAGGAACTGAAGCAGCCTCTCTGCTTCTGCTGCCGAGTACTCCTGGCTGGCTGTCCTTGCCCCTTGGTTGCGCAGCCTGGTGGTCTGTGTGGCTGCACAGTGAAATCATGCTGGGTATCTCGGATGTTTTTTTGTCTGTATCGTTTTTCAGCCAGACCTGTTTCCTGGCTGCTTCTGCTGGCCCAGTGCTAGGAGACAGCCTGAGTGAGAGCAACCAGCTGCGCGCAGGGGGAGCAGCAAGCAAGGAGGGATCTTAGCTTGGGTCAAACATGACAAACAGCCCTACTGCCAAACATGAAGTCACAGCTTCCTGATGCTGATGCACTTTCCAGCTGCTGTCAGGGTTACTCTCATCCTCGTTAAATGTTCATTTCTGATAGTGTTTTGCAGTGGTATGAAGTTGCAAGGAGAGGTTAAAAAGCCATGCTTATCACCAAAGCATGCAGCACTTCCCAGGCAATGTAGCACATTGGCCATGGCCAGAAGCTGCTGCATGCCTGTCTTTTCCTTTTGCGGCGGGAGGGGGAGGGGAGGACAGAGGCCCCTCACCACATGATGATCCTGCTCAGGTTTATTTTTAACCAGGGTATGTGTTCACATTGTGTGGTGAAATGCATGAGATTACTGGGTCAGTCTGCCCCGCAGCAATAGAGCCAGCTATCCTGACCTTAGCAGACCGAATGTGTGGGATTGCCGCCAAGTATTTTTCATTACCACCTTGCTTCTGCTCAAACATCCAATCTTATTGTTTAGTGTCTTTTTTGGTGCCACTACAAAAATTCTCTTCATCTTGCAATTCCTCAATGAGAATTTTCTCCCTGTACCAGCTGCTTAGAGAATGAACTAGAGCAACGAAGTGACCTCCCATTGTGCAGTGCAAACCAAAGTGAGTGTTAGATGCATGGTGCCGTCCATCTAGAAGGAATGAAGAGTGAGTTCTGAGTGGCATACAAGCACTTGTGGCTCCTAGCAGGGCATTTGAGTTGATGTTTATGTGTTATCATGACATGTTGCTTAATAGCTTGTTAAAAGCAATATCCTGCCATGAGTCTATAGCATGACTTAAATTATAACTTTATGGGAACAATTACAGTCTGAAGAAAAGGAAAAATGATAACTGTAAGGTCAGTCAGGGTGAGAGTTGCCCCAAAATTAAATCATTGCTGTTCCAGGACTGCAAAAGAGTTGAGAGATGAATGTCCTTGTGGTTGTATCTGCACTGATGGCTAAGCAGGAGTCCAGCCTTGCTCTTCATTCTGGACTCCAGCAGTCGCAGTCATGGCCTTTCCACCTGTGCTTAGCGCGTCAGACTGAAGCCCTCATCCACGTGCTCTGGAGAGATGAGGTGCCGAGGGAGTAAACATGCTGAAATCCTTTCTAGTTACCTAAAGTGCAAGTCCTGCTCAGCAGTGGGACAGATGGGACTTGAGGGTCTGTTACTCACGTGCCTGCCGCCGGTGGGGCGAGGAGGCTTGGTGCGCTGCTGCCTGCTCTTGTGGGGTGGGGGTGGGTGGGTGCAGCAAAGGGACCAGAGGGCACTCCAGGCAGAGCGAAGGAACCAGCTACTGTGGAAGGGTGGCTTTGATGGAAGCATTTGCAAATATCCAACAGCTGGCGAAGGCCTGGCCTGTGCTCTGGGCAGTCCTGGTAGCTCTGGTGCCTCAGATGCCTCACCAGTACTGAAAGTTTGGGGGAGAGTCAATAGTTTTTGGTAGTATAGGGGTGGGTCCAGGAGAGGAGTAAAGTACAAGGATGCAAAGACCTTTAGCACAGAATTGGACAATGTTGTTGAAAGTGGAACAAGGGGTTAATACAAGGAACAGCGTGAAAGTAACAGCAGGAGCTGTTCTTCCTGGGTGCCAGGAGGCCCTTGGGTGGGTCCTGCTGGGCCATGGAAATTGTCTCCTATGGGGGAATGGGAGTCACAGCTGCAGGTCCCTCCCAGGTTGTTGACCTGCACCCTGTCCTAAGTTCAGGCAATGAAACAGCCTGGCTTGTGCCCTGTTAGGGACTTAGTACTGGTCCTTCCTCCTGGGCTTTAACAGTGTCAGTGGCTCTTTGTGTTGAGCAGGGACCAGCGCATCAGCCAGGATGTGGAGAGGTTCTGCAGGCAGCTCAGCTCCATGGCCAGCAAGCTCATCATCTCGCCCTTCACGCTGGCCTACTACACGTACCAGTGCTTCCACAGGTAAGGACCCATCCTGGCCCTGCTTTCACGCCTCTTTCCTATGCTCTTTTTTGGAACCTGGCACCCACGTTACAACTCCCCGGAGGGACATTTGTACATGTGGCTTAGTGGTCTCTGCACTCCAAAGGGAATTCTGCCTTGGGGATGCTGGGGTGTGCAGTGCTGGCCCCCAAACCTCCGTGAAAGCCAAGAGAGGTGACAATTGAAGGCTCTGACTGCTAGAGTCCGAGGGTGCTGGGGTGTCCTTTTGCTTGGATTATTAGCTGACCTCTTTTTCTCCTCCTCTGTAGTACAGGCTGGCTAGGCCCGGTGAGCATCTTTGGGTATTTCGTCATTGGGACGATCGTCAACAAGGTATTGATGAGCCCAATTGTGTCTAAACTTGTGCAGCAGGAAAAACTGGAGGGTGATTTCAGGTGAGTCCCAGCAGAACAGTGTTTTCACTGCCTCTTGGCAGCTCCTGCGAAAGCTGCGTTTTTGTCCCCGTTCAGTGCTATGTACGCAGCTACTTCTCTTGTCTGTGACTTTCCCCACACTCAGAGAAACCTACCTGCGCAATGCTGCCCCAAAGTCCATGTACTGAGCCCTGCCACCCCTTTCACTGGCCTGTGTCATGGCAGGCAGTGCCCTTGGTTCAGTCTGCTTGCCTGGTCATTGCTGTTGCTGGTGCCTCTGCTAGGGCATTGGATGTGTTGAAGAAAACTGCTTCCTTGGGTGCAGATGCAAGTTCAGTGAACTGCATCTACTGACAGAAATCAGGTTTCTGCTTCACCACCGCCTTCGTGAAGTGCCCAAAAGAGCACAGTCTTTCCATATGCTCTGTAACTCATCTCCTCCCCTTCCCCTGCAGGGTTGGCTGGGTGTGTGGCAGGGGCTTTGCAGCTTTCCCTGGGGCTCGGGGCATCCAGGGACAGCAGCTGAAGCTGGTTTGGCACAGGGAGCCCAGACCAAGGCAGTTGGTTGTGGTGATTCTGTATGGTGGAGATGCTGGGCTAGCAAACAGGAGGCCCAAGGGCTGAGATGTGGACAGAGAGAGGGATACCAAAATAACGCGCCACTGAGCTGGCCCAGAATGATGTCACCTTGTGCTAAGCCTTGGTCTCTGGTGCCTTTTTGAGTCTATTGAGTATTTCTGTCAAGAGATGCCTCAGATCAGTGCTCTGACAGATGCAAGACAAGTTTCCTCCAGCAAGGATGTTGGCTGCATAATTCACTGGGCATTTGTGCACAATCCTGATGATGTTTTTTTGGGTTGTCCAGGTTCAAGCACATGCAGATTCGTGTCAATGCGGAACCAGCTGCTTTCTACAGGTTAGTAGTGTTCATTTCTTTACGTTCTCGTAAGGATCCTCCCAGCTCGGGGCGTCCTTGTTGTATTCATGTATCCCGGAGGAGTCCAAGTCCTGTTGCTGCAGCCAGAGCTTTCTGTCCCCTCCATCCCGCTGTAGCATCATACAGCCCTGACACTCTGTTCTCCTTTGCATTCTGCGCATCGTCTGCAGAAATACTCCACAGCAGCTGGAGACAACTGTTTTTCTCTGCCTCCCTTCTAACATCCCCAAAGGCCTGATACAGATTCAGTGCTGGCTTAGAGACCATTGCTGATGTTTTGCCAGGTCCTTACCTGGAAGATCACTCGAGGTCTCATTGCATCTTGTCAGGATGTTCCCCTGGGGACTCGTTGCAGGTTGCTTCTGGCCCCATCCTGCTGCTGCTAACCTGTGTGTCTTCTGTGGGTATGCTAGTTGTTGCCTGGCCTCCTTACCTGTGCTTGCTTCCTCTAGGTCAGTCTGTGCGCTGACCCTCCCAAGACTGTACTGCTACTCTCTGAATTTGCTCAGTGCCATTTACCCCAGAGCTGAGCGCACAGCTGGGAGCTCGGCAACACCTCCCCGCTTAGTGATGCCCTGAAGTCTGTTGAGCTGCTGCTTGGAGCCTTTAAGCCTTTCACAGAAATGGCTAGAACCCAGGAAAAGGGCCACGATTTTGCTGTAGCTTGTGTTGGGGTGCCTGGTCAGTGGCAGGAGGTTGTTGCTCCGCTCTTGTCACCTGTCTGCCTTTGCCCTGCGCATTGTGAAATCACGCTTCTTCCAGGAATTTAAGCAAGCAGCAGCCGTCCTGTCTCTAGTCTTCCCTGCATGTGATCTGTATTTGGCTCCTTCATGCTGTAAGACTGAATATTTCAGGTGTTGTGGTGCTGTCCCCAAAGTGGTTTGATTCAAAATCACCAATTTCATAAACATTTACATTGACAGGCATGAAACTCTGATTTAAATAACTGAAATCAATCTTGGTTTGCATTGGCAAGTTTGCGTTATTTCTTTGTGGACTGGTTGATTCTTATTGGCTGATGGTAATTTTTCTTAATGGAGAAGATACTCTAATTATGTGGCCTTATTTAAGCTGCAGTACTTTTCCTCACAATTTTGAAGTTTTTTATTCTATTATGAAGTAGAAAATGGAAAGTGAATTATTATACCAGAAAACGGAGTGTCTTACTTCAGTACAGTTCGTTAGTAGAAAAGCTTCACTTGGTGGAAAACTAGAATTTAATTGAATTGCACAAAACCAGGCATTTCATGGTATGAATCTTAATTAAAAATACAGGAATTTTTTAAAAGGTTGCATTCCTAGAATCCTGCAAGAGGAGCAGCACCACAGCGAGTGGTTGGTTTTGATTGCTGGACTTCTCTAGCTTGTAGAAGCTCTTAGATCTTGTCTTCTTGCACCTGCCTAACCATTGTTTTGGTAAAGGAAGAAACAAAACCTGAGCACTGTCACCTTTTTACTTCTTTGGTTTCTAAGCCTTTGGCAAACTTGCTTTAAAAGTGAACTGAATGGGAGGAAAAGCCAAAACCAATACAGCAATCTCTCCTCATCTACAGAAGAAATAATAGCTCTGGTCCCCGGTGCCTTCCTCACCTTTAATTCCTTGTGTCCAAGGCTTCGTCCTTTCTGAATACTCAGCAGCAAAGATTGCAGCTCAGTAGTTACCTGAGATGGGTTGTAGGGCAGTAATGCCAAATTGAATTCTAACCGGATGTATTTTTCTAAGAACCGAGAATCCTTAGAACTGAGACTCTTCAAAAATCTTAATTTGTATTTTTTTGTCCAGCTCCTGGCCCTGTCTGCTTGGGCTCTAGTGACTCCCCCGTTGTGTGGATTGTGGTGGGAGCGTGGGTGTGTGCTGGGCACAAGCGTGTGTTGGATGGCAGGGGCAATAGCTGCCGCAGCAGGTGGGAGTCTGGAGAGACACATGGAGCTCTCTTTGCATTTTGCCACGTGAGGGCAGCCCAGCCCTTGCGAAGGTGGTGGTTTAGAGCTGAGATGTGCCTCCTTGCTACTGGCTCAGCCTGGCAGTGGGAGCATCACTGCTAGCTCAGGGGGTGGGCGACCCCCTGATGCCTGCAGAGATACCCCTGGGAAAGGGGGGGTGTGGGGCTGGGGTCACCCACACTGGGGGCTGCACTGCTCGGGGCTTGTCCGAGGGGTGTCCAGGGTGGGAAACGGGAAGAGGCGGCTGTGGGGCTGCCGGCTGTGCAGGCGGTGTTGGCTTGCTGTCACCTCCTGGGCTTGCCTCTGTCCTCTCCTTTCTGGCTCTAACTGTGTAGCGGTGCCATCCCTCTCTTCCAACCATGGTCTGCTTGGAAAGTGTGTGTGACCTTGGGTGTGCATTGTTCCAGGCTGGGGCCTCGCTGACAGTGTCTGACCTTACCTCACCTCCTCCTGTATGCAACAGCAGCATCCACGGGCTCTGGGAGAGATTTGCAGGGCTGCTTGTTTCAGCCAGAGTTTCTTGGTGAAGCTCTTCAGGAAGACACTCTTGGCTGTTCAGTTCCTGCTCAACAAAGAGCTTGTTGCTTGGAGGCTAAGGTGCCAGATCCTTTCCAAGCCTCGGTCCTAAAGCCCGTGCTTTGACCTCATTGCGGTGCTCCCGGATGTCTGTGGCATGTTGCAATCTTATTCTACAGGGCCGGGCGAGTGGAGCACATGCGCACGGACCGGAGGCTGCAGAGCCTGCTGCAGACCCAGAGGGAGCTGATAGGCAAGGAGCTGTGGCTATACAGTGAGTGGGGAGTTTGGGGGGTGAAGCGGGGCATGTTGGTAGCTCCACTGCGGTGGCCCAGAGGCTTAGGAACCCTACTGCTAGAGCAGCAGTGCTGGGTTTTCCTCTCCCGCCTCTTGCTGGTGCATGAAAGCCCTGAGGGTGAACAGAGGGTGCCTCCTGCACTCCTAAATGGGAATCCTGTAGTGAAAAAGCCTTGTAGAGAGCAAAGTTGTGGAGGACTTAACTAAGTCAGAGAATGCAAGCCCCAAAAGAGGAAGCTGCAGGAAGCTGCTTTTTGAGGGGCAGGTGTTCAATGGCCAGGAAGAGAGGGAAGGGCTTGAGCTTTGGGGAAGGAGAAGACTCTGTATATGTGGTTGGGAGCTGTGGAAACTTCCTTCCTATAGAGCCTGTCCCTTGAGCATAGTTGTCTCCTGAAAATCTCCCTTCTCCCATTGTCACTGGGTCCAAGTTTGGGCATTAAATGACCACTATCAAGACAGCTCTTCCTCATCTCACCAGCATAGTGAGCTTCTGAGCAATGTAAGGGAGGGAGAGCCCTGAACGCAGGTGTCTCTGTGGGAGTTTGGGGTCTTAAGTCTTTCTGCCTGTCCTGTGCTCCAAGACAGACTTCACGGCCAACCATCTCACCCCAGAGCTTCCTTTTTGCCCTCCCTCCTGTTTCTTGTGAGTCAGCCAGGCCCCTGAAGAGTAGAAACAAGCAGGCAAAGTGGCTTTTGCCCCATGGTGGTTCCTGAGCTGCGTGTCTGGATGATGTTTCTCTGCTCAGGGGCCTGCCCCAAAGTGCTCTTTGCTTGGCAAATGGATTTTCACCTTGGTGCTTACGCTGTCCTGCGAAATGGGTTCTTCTGCTCTGGTGCATCATGAAGGGCTGAGGCAAGACCATGGGTCTTCCTCTGACCGGGCTCATGGGCTGCGCTTGAGCCTGGCTGGGACAGAGGTTCCCACTCTAACTCACTGTCTTCTCTCAATATGCTTCTGCCCAGTTGGGATCAACACCTTTGACTACCTGGGCAGCATCCTGAGCTATGTGGTCATTGCCATTCCCATCTTCTCTGGGGTCTATGGTGACCTGAGTCCGACAGAGCTCAGCGCCCTCGTCAGCAAGGTGAGCCTAAGGGTGATCTCCTAGACCCCATTGTGGAGGGTGAGCAGGCACTGAGGATGGAGGTTTCGTGTGGGGCTGGTGGCACTGGGGCTGGATAACCTGCAGCAATTGACCTTCAGGTTAGACTGTCCCTGCCCATGGTGGCATGGAAATGGGAGCTTGGAGCCAGCTGGTGTATGATTAACCTGGGGGTGAGAGCTGTCAAGGACACATCTACATAAGCGTTTCCTAGCTCAAACCTCTGTGTCTAAAAAAAAATGGCGGGTCAGAAAGCCTCTGGCTTTCAGCGGTGTGGGTGGGGATTGGGTCCATGCAGTGCTGTGGATCTGGGTTATGCCCTGGGCTGCTGCCCATGGTGAGCCTGGCCACCTGCAAGGCTGAGCTAGCTTGCATTTGCCTTCCTGACCTGACTTTTTCCCAGATACTCAAAACTGGCTTGTGATAGAGAATGCAGAGCTAAAAATAGCTAAGTGGGCACTGCAGGCTGAGACACCCTGCTCTGAGCCATGTACGGTGCTGGGGCAGGGCTGGCGGCCTGAATCTGCGCAACTTACACAGGGTGAGCGTGCTGTGCCCCGGGCTGGCCAGGAGGCACTCTACAAACACCATCCCTGGGTGGCAGGAGATGTGTCCACCTGGCAAAAACTGCTGTACTGTGCAGTATCCTGCTCCATCCAAATATGGTCATCTTTTCCTTCACTCCCACCACCCTGGGTGACTTCTCCACCACTTCTTCGTCTGGCTGGGACTGCTGATGTGGCCAAATGTCTGGACTCCTTGGCTGCCTCCTTGCACCTATGGAGGAAGGAGCAGTGCCCCAGCTCAGCGCTGACCCTTGCTCTGGCATGTGATTTCTCCCCAGAATGCCTTTGTTTCCATCTACCTCATCGGCTGCTTCAGCCAGCTCATAGATCTCTCCAGCACTTTGACGGATGTAGCTGGCTACACGCACAGGTGAGCTTCTCTGCGGGCAGGTCTCTGCAGGAAAGGGAAGCACGGGACAAGACTCTGCCCGGCTCCGTGCTAAATAAATAAGAAACAGTTGCTTGTGAGCAAGCACAGACAAGTTTGGATTTTGTGAGGAGGCTGCTGGAGTTGTCCCTGGCATTCATGCAACCTCTTGTTTGTCTAGGATTGGTGAACTGCAGGAGACCTTGCTGAGCCTTGCCAGAAGAAAAAATGATAACTACTCAGAAGCCAAAGCCAGCTGGGATTTGGACGGGTGAGTATCCTCTCAGCAACTGGCTGGCTTGCAGCTTACATGCCAGTGTGGGGGTGTCACGGGATGGAGGTGGTCCTTGGTGTCACAGCCTGTTGCATGCAGTTGGTTGGAGCAGGCAGTGCTCACTGTGATTTGTCATTCCTGGGGTGTGTGGGGCAGGGCTGCTGTCACAGAGGCACAGGAGGTCTAAGGTGCCTGATCTTTGCCAGTCTCAGCATGATCGCTTACCCCCAGATCTCTCCTCCTTTGTCTTGGTGGTGGCCCAGCAGCCATTCTGGGGAGGACCCAGTGCCAAAGGAGACAGCTTTCCTTCTGGAGCGAGTGACGCTCTCTGTACCATCCTCTGGCAAGCTGCTCATCAAGGACTTGAGCCTCAGGATCTCACAAGGAAACAGTGTGATGATTGTGGGGAACACTGGCACAGGGAAGACATCTCTCCTGAGGGTCCTTGGCGGACTCTGGGAGAGCACGCGGGGTAAGGACTGCTGCTCGCTGTAGCCTTCTCTTTCTCAACCAGGGCTGCCCTGAGTTTGGAAGGTGACAGTGTGGGTTTGTGAGGCCAGTGCCACCTTGTGATGGTGAATGTGTCACTGATGCATTGGAGCTACCCATCTCTATCGCATACTCTGGCTCTCGTTGCTTTGCCCTGTGTTGCAAATATACCTTTTCTGGGATTTGTTGGCTACTTCATGGGGCAGGACTGCACAGAGGGCAGTGGGGAGTTGCTGGCTGGTGCTCCAGGCGTGGCATGAGTGTATCTCTGTGCAGGGAGCATCAAGATGCTGACCTGTTTTGGCCCCCGTGGAGTGGTGTTCCTGCCGCAGCGGCCCTTCTTCACTGACGGAAGCCTGCGTGAGCAGGTGAGCCCAGGGGCTGCCTCTACTCTGGCCCCAGCTCTGCTCCCAGCTGTGGTCGTGCCCTGTGAACCTGTGTGCTGCAGAAAGGCCTGCAAGAGGAAGGATGCCTGTGGCTGCTCCTTCCCTCATGCCTGAGTTCATGCCACCTCTGTTGTGTCTCTGGTGGACTGTGTCCAGCTCCCTCTGACGTGGCTTCTTTTGCTCTGTTAAACAGGTAATCTATCCTCTGAAGGAGATCTATCCAGTTTCAGGTATGTGGAAATTCATTAGAGCAATTAGCCAACCCCGTGGTGTCAGCTCCCTGTCCTGTATCCAGTGCAGCTTCTCCCCTACCATGCCCCATCAGGAGCGCTCATCCATTTCGCTTTTGTTGCTCTCTGCGTTTCCCTGGAAGATTTACCTTAGTGTAGGTTAAGGTCAGCTTTGTGTTCCCTCCCTTTTGGGAGGGAATGTATTCTCTTGATAAGAACATATTCTCTTGAGGCAGTGAGGACAAGCTGGCCCTCAGCATGTTGTGCTAGATGTGATATATGTTGAGGCACCTTGCTGTTGGGCTAGGTCCCATCTGTCTGGTACAACCTGGCTTTGGGCAAGCTATGTTTGCCTTTGTCTCATTTTCCATCCACCTCCATCTTTCACTGTTCCTCTTTTTCAGATTATGTCCCAGGGCCTTGCATGCTGTCGAGGTCAGACTACATGGATCCTTTCTCCCCACTGGCCTCTTCCCATGCCAGACCACACTGGTCTGCTGCAGCTTGCAGATGTCCAGGTTTAAGTTTCTGACTGAGTGAAGCAGTGTTACGTGCTGCTTTCATAGAATCATAGAATCATTGAATCATTAAGGTTGGAAAAGACCTCTAAGATCATCAAGTCCAACCGTTAACCCAACACCACCATGCTCACTAAACCATGTCCCTAAGCGCCTCATCTACACGTCTTTTAAATACTTCCAGGGATGGTGACTCCACCACTTCCCTGGGCAGCCTGTTCCAAGGCCTGACCACTCTTTCAGTAAAGAAGTTTTTCCTAATGTCCAGTCTAAACCTCCCTTGGCGCAACTTGAGGTCATTTCCTCTCGTCTTATCGCTTGTTACTTGGGAGAAGAGACCAACCCCCACCTCGCTACAACCTCCTTTCAGGCAGCTGTAGAGCGCGATGAGGTCTCCCCTCAGCCTCCTCTTCTCCAGGCTAAACAGTCCCAGTTCCCTCAGCCGCTCCTCATAAGACTTGTCCTCCAGACCCTTCACCAGCTTCGTTGCTCTTCTCTGGACACCTCTCCAGCACCTTTCAAACACTTGGGAGTCACAGTCTTGCAGAGAGTAACTGCAGCCATCAGCTACTGTTGTGGCTCTTCAGCAGCTTCAGAGAGGTCCATGGCAGATGCATAGCCCTTCTGCTCGGCTTCCATAGCTGCTGACTGTACCAGCGCAAGTGTACGTTCTGCTCCACAGCTGGTTCACCCTGAGGTTTTTTGCATCCCACATAGGATCCTCTTGCTCGTTGTTACCCGAGCCCTGCTCCTATGACTCCACCACCTGCAGCGTACAGTGGGCAGTCAGCCATAAGAGAGCAGCTGGTGGGCAGGGCCTTGGCAATTGAAGCCTGGATCCTTGCGTTCTGGCTGTGTCTGTCTGTGACCGTGGATTGAGCCAAGTCTTAGGTGTATCTGTGGAGCCCAGTTATCTCCTGGCCTGCTGCTCACAGGCACGGTTAACATTTTTAAGGAAGGTCAGTCTTCGGGAGCTCTCTGTGCCAAAGCTCAGGATCTGATATAGTTAAGTGGTCGAGTCAGCTACATTGGACCTCAGGAGATCCTCCTTGCATCTGTGGCCTCAGCACACGTTGCCTCTGCTTATGCTTTACTGCTTTCTCCCCTAGGGTCTGCAGATGATGAGAGAATTGTGCGATTCCTAGAGTTGGCTGGGCTGGTGAGTGCTTCTGCCTTCTTTCCTGGTGCTGCCAGCGAGGGAAGAAGGGATGAGGTTTTATGGCAGCACAGCACGACCATATGCTGGACACATGCGGGGACATTGGCTGTAGCTGGGACAGGACTGTCCATGGGACAGGCAGAGGAGGAGGGATACGGAGCAACTTCAGCTCAAGCGGGAAAAGAGAGAGTAGCAGGAAGGGAGTGGTTCTGCTCAGGGCTGTGGGCTGACAGGGTTGGGGGCTGTGTTCACAAGTCTGCTGTGCTCTCTGCAGACTGATTTGCTGGAGAGGGCTGGAGGACTGGACGAGCAGGTGGACTGGAACTGGTAAGGGAGCTCGCCATCTGCGTGATCCCTCTGGGTGGGGAACACTTCTAAGCAGATGCCCATTGCTGCTGGACTTATGAACATCTGTGTCCTGTGGGAGGTGGGCAGTATACGGGGGCAAAGCCTTCATGCCTCAGGCATCAATGCCAACAATCATAGCCATGCTGCTCTGCAGGCAGCTGACTGCACAGGGGTGCAGAGCCAGTCCCAGTGTGGAGGGGGACATGGGGGACGCACAGGGACAGTTGCTTGCTGGGGTCTCTGATATCAGAACCATAAGCTCTTCAGCAAATGAGCTCTTTTTGTTGAGGGAGATTTTGAATCTCGACCCTGCTGCAGGTATGACATCCTGTCCCCAGGGGAGATGCAGAGGCTCTCGTTTGCACGGCTCTTCTACCTCCAGCCAAAATACGCGGGTGAGTGGATGACTGGGAAAGAAAAGAGGGGGGCGGGGGAAAAAAGGCAGGGCTTTTGGAGTAAAGAGAAGCTGGTACAGAGACAGCTCATGAAATCCCTTCTTTGCTAGGAACATGCTTCGTCTTGGCCATTTTTTTAGCAGCATAGCACACAGAGGATTCAGAGGTGAAGACATTTCATTATCTGTGTGGAGGGTGGTAAATCAAGAGGCTATATATAAGATATTCTCTTCTTGGGGAACTAGCGATTAATGTTCTTGGTCCAGGTCCGATGGCACCTGAAGAAGCTGCCTCTCAGCATGCTCACCAGTTGCCACATAAAGAAGCGTGCATGTTAGGGAGCATGGTGTCAGCTGCTGTATCTGAAGCTCATGAACCTCTACGGTTGTGGAAGCAATGTGGGAAATTTAGCTGTTAACGCAGCAAAAGAAGACCAGGAGCAGTGGGAGAAACAGTCCTGAGAGATCAAACAAGCCGCTCCCATTAGCAGATGGGACTAATTCCTTTGCATACCTAGATTGCTAGTGACTGCTGGGGGGGGCTGTTGGAGGACTTGTCATGAGGGCCAGGGTGCGTGTGGGTGAACAGAGCCGGTGTCGGTAGCAAGTCGCCACATGTAAGTACCTCTCTTCCCCTGAAGCATGCAGCATGGCTTGGTGCTGTCTGGGCAGAAGGAACCTGTGGATTGCAAACTAAAAGCTGTAGAGATGATGTAAAACAAATTGAAATTATCTGCTCCAGATCTGTAGTAGTTACCCTTAACTGATAGGAAGGTGCCTCAGGCCATCCTGGATGCTCCAGGTGGGGTCTGGGCCGGAGGAGTGCTCTGGCACATGGCCTGCCTTGAGAAGGTCGCGTCTGCTTCTCCTCACTTGCCTTCTGCAGATGCTCTTGGTGAACTCTGGTTAATACATGAAATGTTCTCGGCAGTTGCTGCTTTTTTGCCTAGGGGGAGATGACTGGTCGGGAGAGGATTTGTGGGGCTTACGACTTTTCTGTCAGTGCTAGATGAAGCCACCAGCGCCCTGACAGAAGAGGTGGAGCATGAACTGTACCGTGTGTGCCTTCAGCTGGGTATGACGCTGATCAGCGTGGGACACAGGGCCAGCCTGGAAAAGGTGAGATGGGGAGACAGCGCTCCATGCCTCCCTGGTGGTGGCAAGACAGGGGAGGTAGAGAGGGTCCCTGGCGAGCAGAGGGGAATGACTGAGGCTGGAGAGGAGGGAGGACATGCCCTCGCAGAGACATCCCTCAGTTGTTGTGTTATTGAATTGCAGTTCCACAGTTGGATTTTGAAACTTCATGGGGAGGGAAGATGGGAGCTCACTCGATGCGAGAAGATGAAGCGCCTCCCAGCTGGGGAAGGATGCTGAAAAACATGCCCTTGTCTGGCCAGCTGCAGAACCTGCACACGCGTGGGAGACCTCTGAATAGCAGACATGGAGCTGCTGAGCCAGCAGCTGTCAACAAGGGAGTCATCCAATGCAAGACCAGTTCTGGATTTTGCTAATGGACACGGAGCCAAGTCTGAACTGATGGTGTGGGGTTCTGCCAGGAGCAGACACATCTATCCCATCCTTCTTCCAGCCCCCTTCTGCCTCCCTGCCTCTCATGGGGGAAAGGGCTGAGCCGCTAGGCTGCCCAAAGAGAAGATGCTGCCTCAAGGGGCTTGTAGAAGCAATGGCCAGAGGAACCTCCGCTTGTCCAGGATGCAGTGGTGCGAGGCTAGGATGCAGCGTCCTGTTCTGCCCTCTGTGCCTTGCTGAGAGGTCTTTGATACACAGCTCTGCAGAACAGACTTCTGTACCTGTGGCTCTGTTGAGGGTTGTACTCCCCAGCAGGAGCCAAGGGATTCACTGTAAGGGGAGGAGAATGCTGGCACAGAGAAGGGGCTTGTCTTTGCTCTCTTTATGACACAGGGTTACAGGTCCAAGGAACATTTTTGTATTAAAATCTGGGGCCTGTTTTCCAATGATGTTTATGGAGAAGAGTCAGTATTTGTTAACCAGACTGCTGCATCTTTTCCTTCTGGGGTTTGCTTTGGAGGAGATGCTTGTATATTGGCAATGGTCCTGGACTAGACTATTGCTGAAGAGCAGAGCAGGGGTAGGAGTAATATACCTATCTAGGGCTGGGCATCCTGCCCTGCTGCTGCCTCCACAGCTACTGCAAGGCACAAGGAATCCCAAGGAGGTCTTTTGGCCCTCTGCTTTCAGGGGAGGAAACAGAGGTTGCCTCCCCTTACTGTTCTGCCTATGATGAGTCATGTTCTCTCCCCTGCCTCCCATAAGTGTGTGGAGACAGAGGTTTTGAGGGTTTCTGTGTTGTGGAGAGGTTACTCTGAGACCGCAGTGGAGGTGCGGTCTCTGAGCACTTTCTGGCCACCAGTTGCTTAGTGACATTCGTGGACATTGCCCTGGTTCTGCAGTGGAGGAGCAGGAGGTGGCTGCTGGCAGAGTCAAGCTAGCAGCAATTCTGCCCCTCCACCAGGTGCTTGTGTCCCTCTATGATCTGCTGCACGGCTTCATGGTCATCCAGGGTGGTTAGGTCCCCGAGCTCACTGGCCTTGTCCTCCACAATTTTCCTTAGCACCCGACGCATAATCTTCCCTGAGCGTGTCTTGGGCAGCCGATGTGTGACCTGTGAGGGGGAGGAGCAGAGCTAAGGCTGAGGGAAAGGGGTTGGCCAGGCTTCTGGGGTAGGTGTTAGACCAGCCTGCATGTTACCTGAATGTACTCTGGAGCTGCGTACTTAGCTATCTTCTTTGAGATCAGCTCCTGTAGCTCAGCAGCAACAGTCTCCTGTGTGTAGCCAGTGTCGTTCTTCAGCACAACAAACGCATAGGCTCCTGGCAGAAGGACCGCCAGGTTACTGAGCATCATGTGCAGAATCCTCCTGAGAGCCTGCCTGGACCTAGTGCCAGGAGAGGTCCTTCTCTGCTGGTAGCCTCAGGAGATGCTCTGTAGCCTGAGCTGTAAGTGCTTTTGGCCATGGTGCTGCTGCTGCTGCCACCTTATGCAAAGCCCAGCTGGTCTCATGTAGGTTGTGATGGCTGTGCCAAGATCGCCGCTAACATGCTGCACGGCGTTGGCACAGTGTTGCTACCGGGGGTTGGTGTGACAATGCCACTTCCCACTGCAGTACAGTAGCCCCAGGAGAGACATTTCAGGGGCAGGAAAGCAAGCATCTTACCTTCTCCCTTGATCTCATGTGGGTAGCCGATGACAGCAGACTCCGCCACTGCCACGTGGTCATTCTGGAAGAGAACAAGGCTGGGGTTTGGCTTCGGTGCTTTCGGCAGGCTGGCTGCCATCTGGGAGCTGCCCTGACCTGGCTTGGCTGCTGCAGCCCACGGTAATGCAGAGAGATAAGCAAGGGTCTCAGATGGCCTCTGCCCTTTTTCCTTCTTGCCTGAGTAGGTCTGTCTGCAAACACAAGTCTTCCCCCCTGTCCCTGGCTGCTTTAGGCTTGCACCTTCTAGACCCTGTTCTGTGCCTCCAGGTTGCTCCACCAGGTCCCACAATCCCACGGATGCTCCTCCTTAATGTGCCTGGCTGCCGCTTTGGGATTCACCCACTTACAGCATCCACCTTATCAGGCTTTGTCTCTCCCTTGCTGCAGAGAGCTGGAATGGGAGGGGAGAGGGTGGGAAGCTGTTCTCACAGACAGGCTGTGGGTCCAACACTGTTCCCTGCTGCTACAGCAGCAGCGTGTTTCTGTCTGGGTATTTCAAAGAGGCTTCCCTGAGCACCACCAGTGCGCCTTCGCTGTCCTCTCAGATGGCTTTACCTCCCACCCACACCTCTTACCACAACATCCTCCACCTCTGCAGTGCCCAGCCGGTGTCCGCTGATGTTAATGATGTCGTCCAGCCGTCCTGTCAGCTGGTAGTAGCCCTCACTGGTACGATACGCACCATCCCCGGTGAAGAAAAACCCTGCAGTGGCCAGAACCGTGCCATGGTCACTTGTTGCAGTGAGTATGTGAGCTGCTCATCAGCCGCACTCTCACCTTGCCCCCTTCTCCTCTCTGTTGGCACAAGGGCTCATGTATTCTGCTCCTTCCTCAACTGCTCAGGGTGAGGATGCCTACCTTCCTTGTTAGTCTTCTGCCTCTGTTGGTACCTGCTCTATCATCAGGCTCCTTTCCTCATTCTGCAGTGCGCTGGCTAATGCCCAGCCTGCCTCATCACCACAAGCCGAGAGTACTTTGCTCCAGTGCAGGTGCCTGTGGTCCTGCTGTTTCTCCCTGTTGCTTCACATCAAGACACACACTCTCTTGGGCTTGCTCAGTGCCTCTGGATGAGTGACAGAAGCCAACAGGATTTGCAAGAGATGCACCAAGAGGCTTCTCTGTGCTCGGGGCGACTGGGGACAGAAAGACAAATTGACTGCCCTAAAACCACGTGATCCAATGGGGAAGGCTGGTGAGAAAGACCCATTCCCAGGGCAGTGCTGAGGTATTGGGCATGGGGAGATGAAGGGCCTCAACACTGTGGAGGGTCTGTGGAAGAACGAAGCAGCAGTACCAGCTCTCCTGAGTCCTGCCCCCATGCAGAAAACCAGCAGGCAGACCCAGCTGTACCCAGACAAACACCTCTGCAGTGACCTGCCACGTGTTTTCCTTACCTGGATAAGGAGTCAGATAGGTTTCCAGAAATCTCTTGTGGTCATTGTAAATGGTTCGTGCCATACCTGGCCAGGCTTGCGAGATGCAAAGGGCTCCAGAGATGTTGTTTTCCAGAAGGATGTTTCCCTGTAAAAAAGTTACCTTTTAGTAAGCATGGCTGAGGGTACTTGGGATGTTCAGTCATTGTCGATTTAACAACCCTGTGATGGAAATGTCAGGCAAGGCAGTGAGGAGAGTCCTGTGCCCCCGACTCCAACAGGACAGGCTCAGTCTTTCCCAGCAGCTGCCTACCATGGTGGGATGCAGGGCCCCTCCAGGGAGGCTGGCTGTCCCTGCCCAGCTACCTCACCTTGGAAGGACATGTGCCAGCGAGCTCAAGCACAGCCCATCTTGTCAGGACAGAGCAAGCTAGAAAACAACTTCTGCACAGGTTGGAAGAACAGCTTCACTGCTAGCCGCTTTCCAGTCAAGAAGGTTGCCATCTAGCAGAGTTGAGCAGGAAAGATGCGCTTACAGATCTCCACTCCCATCAGCAAGTACACGCTGCAAGAGCCTGGGCTGCAGGTTATAAATGTACCTTGTCATCCAGGAGGGAGGGGCTGATTCCGAAAAAGGGTCTCATAGCCATGCCTGGAAGGATTTCAGCTCCAGGATTAGAAGGACGGGGTGAGATACAGATGCCTCCTGTTTCTGAAGCAAAAGAAACTGTAATGCTCATCAAAGTCAGGGACAAGAGGAAAGTCAGGTAGCACTGCTTGGCCAACAGCCTTTGCCCTGGCCCTCACTGCAGCCTGCTGGACCACAGGCTGGGGCTGGATTTGCCAGAGAGCTGGGGAAGGCTCTTTGCAGAAGGATGATTCTGCTGATTTAGTTCAGCAGAGATCTGCTCCCTACTGTCAACTCCCCCGTGTTTCTCTGGGTTAGCTTTAAAGGCCATTTGTGTCTTTCATGTTTTAGTCCCCATGGCCCCTTATGGCATTGCTCATACAAGAGTGTCAGTAACAACCGTTCCCACTTGGCCAACAAAGCAGCAGGTCACTCCTAAAGCCTGGGAGAGCAGAAGCTGGAACAATGGGTCATGCGCATCTTACCAGTTTGCCACCATGTGTCCACTACTGGGCACCGTGTCTCACCAACCACTTGGAAGTACCACTCCCACGCCTCCTTGTTGATGGGTTCCCCCACTGCAAGGGGAAAGACAGGGGGACAGAGCTGAAAGATCAGGTCAGAGACACAGCTTCCCAGGGCCTGCTCGCTTGTGGAGCCACCCCCAAATAGCGCAGTCTCCCAGCTTTCCACTCTCATGTGCTGCTGCTCTTGGCATTTGTGGAAAGAGGCACAACCTGATGCCCAAGGATTTGCTGCTCCAGCCCATGCCACCAGCAGTTACCTGAGTAGAGCGGTCATATTTCTTCACCCATTCATCACCATATCTCAGGAGCAGGCGGATGGCAGTGGGCGCCCCATAGAACTGGTTAATTTTTAACCTCTCCACTGTTTCCCAGTAGCGACCTGGAATGGAAACAGGACCAGTAACCATCCACACAAGTCCTCCCAGCCCGAGACGGAGATAGAGGGAGAGAAGGTGAGAGCAACGGCTCTCTAGCAGTGCCTGGACTCTCAGCCAAGCTAATCCCGCTCTAGGAAGGACTAAAGCAGTCCAGGAGCAGCAGCGGCCCCTTTTCCTCCACATCACCTAGCTCTGCTACCTCTCCCTGCTGCAGGGAGGGGACAGGGAGAAACA